AGCTGTCCCAGTTGGTACCCAGTGTATGGCAACACAAACTGTACCAAATGATGAACCCAATAGGAATTCACTGCCGTCTATAAACCTAGGGTTTAATTTATTCTCTAGCAATTTAATTAGTTTACCAAGCATTCCAAGCATTGAGGCATTAAAACTATCACAAAATATTGACTTGACGGCATTTCCGAACGTAAACACCGTGGACTTTGTACTGGGTGGTGGTTTTAACAGACAACAAAGTGTGACCTCTTATCAAGATGTCCCCAGTGGTTCTGGTCAGGATGACGGGGAGAGGTCACTGCCCTTTAAGAAAAGACGTTTATATGCAAATACATCGGAAGAAAGAGGTAGAGCCGATGCCTCAATGCCAAGTCTAGATTTATCTGGTGCCATACCATTTGTGTCAGATAAGGGGAAACAACCAGGTATGTAGTAATACAAACAAGAGTTATCCTCAATATTTTGCTCTTATTTTCAACCATTGGACTGATGATTCAACAAAATTCTTATCTTCATCGTTTTTTTTAATATTTGCTTTATCAGTTGATAGAGCAAAATTTTATCTATCTAGATAATTCTTAGTATGTAAGGGATTCGGAAATTTGATTTTGATATTTTGAAATGACTGGATCACTTTAAATTGGTGCATTCTTATGAACAAAACCCATGTAAATGATGAAATTTTAAGATTTGACTATATTATTAGATAGGGTCATATTGCTTATTATAAAAATTCTTAAACAGGAGACCTATTTCACCAAATTTTAACTAAGATAAAATCCAGATTTGAAGAAATACAGAAATTTGATTGGTTAATGAGGCTTACTTTAAAATCGATTAAAGTGATTGACCAATCAGATGACTAGAGTACTAAAACCCTTTTCATTCAAGTATTCGTTCAACTTCCCCTGGTGATTGTCGTAATAAAAGAAAATCGCCAACCAATTGCCAAGTTCGCTGTAAGCGTCTATAGAAAAGTACACTACCAATAGGATATAAATAGATAAGGTTTACATAGAGTGCCTACTTTAACTCTGCTTTTATCAAATACTTCCTGAATGAAACAAAACCTGGCTTAAAGAGACACCATAATCTTTGTTGATAGAATTTTATATTTGTTGACTCTCAAGGGACTGAGAAAGGAATTGCAGGAACCACAGACGTCTGAATTAACATTAGAATGGTGCAAATACATTCATATATGATAAATATGAAAATTAAGAAAAACTTTTTACAATCCCTTAGAACCCCATGAATGTTAAACAGACGTCTGAATGAAAATTGGTATGGTGTAAATTATCGCTATCAATATCCTTGATATACATAAAAGTTTTGAAAACCTCTTTACTATCCCTTTAATGTATTTAGGTGGTTTTAGTTAAATATAGGATTTTCCATTTTTCTGCTATAAACTGAGAAAAATCTTACAAATTTTCCCTTTCTTTATAAAATGGGAAACACATTTTGGTACGGTACTTTTTGATCAAAATCAAATTTTATTAAACTTTTTGATTGAAGTCTTTAAAGGATGGTCATTTATGCCAGAGGTAATTTTCTATGTATTTGTATAAAAACAGTATTCTTGTTTTTGTGTGTGTATCAGGGACACATATAATTTCTGGTTTGGTTATGTTTCCATTTTCAAAAGCTTTGGTTCCTGTGATTCCTAAAAAATTGATTTTAATGACACTTTCCTAGAACTAATAGTCTATTTGGAATACTGGTTTTTGCCCAAAATTTAGGTGCAGGATAGGATGAGCTCTTGCCTTTATGTTGATAATGACATTTAACCACCATATGTTGTGCCCTCTGAAGACTGTGAAGGGGACCCGAGGCGCTCAAATGCCGTGAATCCCCCACCCCCCTTCAATGAAATCCTCCCTCTGCCCACTGATTTTGATATTAACTGAAACACTTGCTATATCACAGAAATTTCCTCAACACCATGTCCCAAGGAAATTTATTGCCTTGAAACTTGAGCTATTTATAAGTTTATCTTGAAACAAGTTAGAACATGAAATATTTCCCTAATGAAACTAATCTAGTTGGGATATTAAAGGTCACAAAAACTATCGTTAAAATACGTCATTATCTATGCGAATTCACTTGTTATGTGATTTATTTATTAAACGGTGAAGTTAAAGGCTTGGCTGAATTGCCCTGTTACAAAACTCTTTAAGATTAAAATTTAGATTAGATTTAGGAACATGCTTTCTTGTGCCTATTTAACCCTTTGAATGCCAAATTATGTAATATAAAATGTAACTGGATCTCAATTTAGTGTCAAAATTAGGCTGCTTTGCCCTACCAAAAGTTTGCTGTTTCTAATCTTAAATGATTGGTGCCCTTTACAGATCGGTTACCCCTCCTCTTCCCCTCTCTCCCCCTCTCTCTCTAATTATTCATAGATAGAAACGCCATTGTCTTCCTTCAGTTCCAAAACTGCCTATATGAGGAATTTGAATCTAAAACATTTCTGAAAAGTTTCTTTAGTAGATTAGTCAATTTATCAATCCTTAATTAAGCCCACCCATTAGATTAAGGTAAAGTAATTTATACCTAAATATCTAGTTTTGCCTATAAAATGATATATATATATATATATATATATTTAGAATGGGTGTGAACTGAACTAGAGAATATATCACAGTATTCAGTTGACTTCAAGTCTATTTATAATTTTATCTGGTGACCTGCCTCATAAACTTCATGAACACAAGATAAGACTTTCTTCAATATCTTATTTTTAAAGGGCATAGTCTTTTTATTCATGATAGATATTTATTATCCGGATATCCGGCTGAACTATTTAAGGATATCCGGCTGAACTATTTAAGGATATCCGGCGGCACTATTTAAGTATATCTGGCTGCACTATTTAAGGATATCCGGCTGAACTATTTAAGGATACCCGGCTGAACTGTGGTATCAGGTGTCCTGCTTTTTTGCACAATATTGGGCTAATGAATACAGCATCTACAGTGTACGATGAGGAAATTTAGTCAAGATGAATACTTGCATCAGTCTTCTCTTTTTCAGAAAATAAAAATCCTGTGAAAATAATATTTCCTTATAGTGGATTTTATTTCATTATTAAAGGAGATTGAATTCACGTTAGTTTTCATTATATATTCATAGAAAAAACTTGACTGTTACTCAGGTATATCAATACACAATACTTTATCAATGAATATATCTTGTCAAATCATTCATATATTTCACAATATATATTATCTAACGTGCTGTTAAAACTGGTTTTAGATCAAAAAGGGTTAAGGTTGTTTATAGATTTATGGCTGGATATCAAGGCATACAAAGCTTCATAATCTTGGGCCTTATTCTTGAAAACTGAATAAAGATTTAATCCAGATTTTAACCACAGTAATCTGATTGAATAATATAACTAAATTTAAATTCGATCTTTGTGATTGAGCAATCACATGACTAGGACACTAAATAACTTACACTGTCTGCTAACCTATCTTTAAAAAAAAATATTCTGGATCCGACAATAATAACTGTCAGACACTTTTTAGTCCTAATCAAACATAACTGGCAAGCTTAGGAAATAAAACAATAAACTCTCTGCACATATGACAAGGTGTGAATGAGAAATATTTAAAGATCGCTGCCAAACACTTTGTAGTCCTAATCAGACATAACTGGCTTGTTTATGAAATATAATAATTCAGTGTTAACAACCTATATCTATATCGGTGAGAGGGTGAGTGACATTCATCATGTGAACCTTCCTGTTTGAGTACAATTCAAATTGACATGTTTCCCATATACTCTAACAATTAACTATGTTTAACTTTGTAAAGTTGAATATATTTTTATGCACAATTTAATGTATGCTTGAGTGAATAATGAATTTAAATGGAGTCATGTATCTACTTTCTCTTGCTCGGGCTAATAAAATACAGGCATTTACATTTACATTACAAACAGGGCCTCCCTTTTAGGTTCCATCTTACAGACTCCTTGAATAAGTCATCTCAGTCATAATTCAAGTCAACCCAGATGTAAATGGATACGGAAAATCTTATAGAAATCAATGCCAAGAAGTTTGGTCAAGGACGAGTTGGAAGAAATGATCCTTAGTCGAACCTAATTCGCGATTCTTGTAGACTATAGGCCTAGTTACAGTGTCAACCATCCAACATAGGTCACTGGCATTGAAACTTGTTGAACTATTCATAGTTGATGTACTTGTACTGACATAGTCCCCCATCACATAGTTAGGTTGTATAAGATGATCAAGATATGCTTTACCATTTAATAAACCACGCTTCAATATTCAAAAGGAAGAATTGAGCTAAAATTAGAATGGGATTATGATACAGTACAAAAAGGTTTTTAACCAGTGAACCATATCGCTAGTTTTATATTTTAGTGAAATATGGACTCTTGAATTAAATCATACTAATTTCCCTCATTGCACATGGTCAATGTTCAGCACAATCTGCAATAGAAAAGTAGAAATTGGGTTTGTCAACTCAGGATCCTTTTTAGAGAGTCCACATAACCAATATTATTTTTTGGTAACACTTGAAATGACATTGCCTTGACTTGGTTTATCGACTTGGTATCCCTTTAAGAGAGTCCACATAACTAATATTATTTATTTGAATATGTAATGTAACCAGATTTTGCATTTTATAATTTTCCTATTTGATATTTTCAGAAAATAAACAAGACACATCACTACTGCGATCTATAAAAATTGACCCTCAGTTTAGTTCACAGTTAATGAGAGAAATAACCGTAGCTTTAACTCAGGATGAAGACGGAGATTTGTGAGTACATGTTTAAATTCATAGTTTTTTTATACCCCACATGAAATTTGAGCGTCCCCCACAATTTCTTACAAAAACACTCTAGAAGGCGCAATTCTTGATGAATTTTGACAAAACTTAGGATGAACCCTTTTGAATATAAAACAAGCTATCTTTTTAGTTGTAAGTAATTCTTGTATATCTATTAACCTCTATTTCAGACCGTTACATATCGCAGTAGTACATGAAAACCTGGTGATGATTAAAAAATTTATACAATTAATGAAGCTCGCTAGAAAAAGTGTGGATAAATTTAACAAACAAAAACAAGTAAGTATTTTTATTTTTATGGAGAAGAGATATCATGTTGCCCATTTTCTTTGTTTCTTTTATCAATTTCTTCAATGATAAAATTTTGTTGAGTTATTGCCCTTGATCAATGTTTAACAAAACTATCAAAAATGTCGTTATTAGATTCAATTATAAACAGTTGACATGGCATTACAATTGTCTTACCTTGAGGTGGATTCAAACCCACAACGTCTAATCCCTAGCAGACGACACTCTAACCCAATATTCCTACATGCCTGTGCCTGTGCTTTCGTAATATTGCTTAACCGCAATGTTACAACCTAAAATTCATGTTATTTTTTGTAAAAGAATTAAAAAATATGATATTAGTGCAAAAGTAACGAAAGCAGCAGACTATCTGTGACCATCTGTGTTCAAAATTCAATGTTTGAATTTATTCTTGCATTACAGAAGATGATGTTATATATTGAATTATATTTTAGACTCCCCTACATCTAGCAGTCAAATTAAATCTACAAGATGCTATTAAGATGTTATTAGAAGCTGAGGGAGATGTTAATTATGTAGATCAGAATGGATGTACGTCATTACATCTGGCCGTTCAACACAGACTGCCACATCTTATAGATCTATTCTACAAACACTCTCATGTCTCTTTAGATATCAACACCAGAAACTTTGAAGGTAGGAAAATTAACTTTGGATCATATTTAAAGGGACTATAAAGAGATCTTCTCAAATTGTATGTGTATGTGTATCAGGGACACTGATAGCATCAATTTACACCATTCCAATTTTCAATCAGATGTCTGTGATTCTTGTTAAAGGATTGTAAAGAGGTTTTCTAACTTTTTATGTGTATCAGGTACACTGATAGCATCAATTTACAGCCTTTCAATTTTCAATCAGACGTCTGTTGTTCCTTCAATTCCACTAAGACTTAGTGTTTGATGACGCCACTAATCGAAAATAAAGCATATTTTATGATTATTGCTTCCAAAAGCCAATTGACAATTGACTCTGACTGAATAAGCTACAACCAGTCCTCAAATCGAGAACTGAATTGTATTCTGATTTTAATCATCTGTTTCAGGGTTCACTCCCCTCCATACGGCTGTTAGTTTAAACGATGATGAAATGATCAATATATTGTTAGATAGAGGCATAGATATTGATATTGTGGTAAGTTAACATCCTTTGTTTAGGCTAGTGAGGAGGTGCAATGCCATGCAGTGTGTGATGAGGAAAACTTTTGCAAGGACAGTTGTATTATCATACTCTTTAAATTTCCAACTGTTGAAATGAAATGAATGGAGTTTTATATCCTACTTTTCTGCACCTGTTTAATCTAGAGAGAACATGCAATGCCATGCAGTGTCTGATGAGGGAAAATAAGCCAACTGTTTCAATTTCAACTGTTGAGAGATCTTTGATATGCACTGCCTGTAGCACACAGTGTCTCAGTTTTTTGTTTCATCCATACCAAATATTGTGGTAATGATTACTTTTCTACACCCATGCAGATTATTGAGGATGTGCAACTCCATGCAGTGTGTGATGAGGGCATTTTTGAAAAGACAACAGCAATAGCGAACGTCTTTTCCAGGGTTTTGGTTTATTGTCCCATCCAGATTTAACTTAACATTTTCATACATTTTATCCTTTTGTTTGTTTCATTATTTTTGCAGGATGGTAAAAGTGGAAGAACAGCTTTGTTTCATGCTGTAGAAGGAGAGAAGAAAGCAATAGTATGTTTATTACTGAAGAAAGGCGCAAATGCAGAAATCCTCAACTATGCAGGCAACACAGCAATAATGGCCGCCCATGCCAGAAATCTGCGTGAGATATCAGGGTTATTAACGTGTAAAAGTAATGATATACCAGATTATGAAATAGATAATTCCAGTCGAAGTAGTAGTGTTGAAATACAGGTATGGGTTAATCAGAGTTATCTCCCTTCCATTAAAACACCTCGCCACTCTTCTTAAAAGTCTTACTACTAACTCTTTACAACAGTGTTATATTTCCGGATGTAAATTCCAGTTACGACAAATTTTAGCAGAATAGTTTTTGATAAACTAAAAAAATATCAGTCAATGGTGTTAATGCAAGACACTCACCAAACAAATTTCCAGAAAAAATTATAGAAAATACCTTATGTATTGGCTTTTATATCTTCTACTTCATTGAGCATCCCGGCAGACACCAACCCTTGTCTGTTCACGCCTCAAAACTGAATTGATTTCTTTTCTATTTATTTTCAGGACAAGCCACCAGGATTAATCAGAGTCATTGATAGTCCAGAAAACAAGTTACCAGAAGTTTCTATGACCTCTTTGCCCACTTCTATCCTCTCTCAAGCACAAATGGACTTTCAGAACCCTGTCATGGGCAAACCTTTTTCAATGTCTGGTATCACTCCAAATGTCAGACTGGACGAACCAATGGAGCAACCTTTAGATTTGCATGTGGAAAAGAAACCGAAAAAAGAATCGGAAAATCAAGTGTCGTCTACGCGGCAAAACGAACCCAAGAAAATGGACGTTGATTCTCCGCAGGACGCTGATATTGCAGTGGAAAATACTAATCTAGTGATTTCAATTTCCGAGAACGGAACGTTGTCCACAGAACAGTCGTCAGACATGACCAAAATTCCACACGGAAACATCATGATTGATAGAATCAGTCCACCCAAAGTGACCATTATTCCAAATCTAAGTGATAAACATAGTGCTTTTAGAATGGTATTAACTTCATCACAGCAACCCGTGGCCAGTTCAGTGACGTCAATGTTAAGTTCAGTGACGTCAACCATTCCAACAGTGACGTCAGACAGTACATATACGTCACAAAGAACTCCTGTGATGATTCCAAGTGGGATCCCAACCTATATAAAACCAGAATTGAAAGCAAAAATACAACAGAATCTTATGAATAAGAAATTAAAGGCCCAGCTATCAGAAGAAAAGAAGGATTGAAATCACTACTTACTGTATAATTGAGAGAATAACGCGCGGGCATGTTGTCAACTTGTATGACATATATTAAGAGCGACCATTTTGAAATGTCTCAGTTCAGATGGTATTAATATAATTGCAAGTATAACGCACAGGCATATTGTCAACTTGTATTACATATATTAAGAGCGACCATTTTGAAATGTCTCAGTTCAGATGGTATTAATATTATTGTGAGTATAGCGTGCGAACATGTAGTTAAATCTCTTTAACTAGTTAAGTTCTTGAGGGCTGCCATTTTGAAATGTCTCGGCTCAGTATATTTCACTTGCTATATTGTTAAGGTAATTTAGCGTCATAGGTTCAAATCTTCTATAACGCAATACAAATTTGATGTGCTTTCTATTATTAGTTTTGTGTCTGTCTACTTTGTAAATCAAGGGCAAGAACTCTTCAATGGAAGTGAATTCTCAAGCTAAGCCTTATAACTGCCCATTTTTAACTGAAACTCTAGAGCTGCTAAACTGTGCATTTTTTGTGAAATTAGAAAATTATGACTTTCTGTTGGAAGAAAGGAAGGGAAACTTTAAATTGAGATTGGTGCAGGCACACTAGGAGACAAAAATCTCTTGATAATCACGTGCGGAGCATGCAATTGAAAGAAAAATGAATCTGATTGGATGATGACAGTCTGTCTTGCAGTCGATAAAATATATCAGAGACAATTATTTTGATATTATAAATCCTGTCTGCAACATGATAATCTTGTCGTGGAAGCACGGGCACACGCATGATTTTACTCAAGACTCTAATCAGTGTCTCCGACCAAAGTATACGACCCAAAGTTTATAATGCATTTAGAAATTCGATAAACAACGTTTCTACAATTTACATTATCATCATCAGTTTATATAGTATACAACTCCTGGGTTTTATTGTACACAATTTTCTTCCATTTACATTGTCATCATCAGTTTATATAGTATACTACTCCTGGGATAAATTGTACACAATGTTTCTTCAATTTACATTGTCATCATCAGTTTATATAGTATACTACTCCTGGGATAAATTGTACACAATGTTTCAACAATTTACATTGTCATCATCAGTTTATATAGTATACAATTCCTAGGTTTGATTGTACACAACGTTTCTACAATTTACATTGTCATCATCAGTTTATATGTATACTACTCCTGAGTTTTATTGTACACAATGTTTCTACAATTTACATTGTCATCATCAGTTTATATGAGGAAGTATAACACAAGACGGTATATCTACACATATACAACTGACATTTAAATATTATTTGTTTAATCGTAGGGAAACCATACATCAGGTTTTAACCCTAATAAGTGTTACTGATGGTTAAACACAGTGCGATGACTACTTCTCTTTAAGCTCAACATTTATCTAATCTTGAAATGAAATTTAAAAGGAACATTAAAGGGATTGTAAAGAGGTTTTCTCTAAAAAAAGATTTTGTGTATTTTGATTTACATACAAAGTTTAAAAATCTCTTTACAATATCTTTAATATGAAATAAGAAAGAAATGTTTTTTCTAGTAGTGCTAACTGTATATTATATTAAATTGTACATAGGTCAAAATCCTGGAAAACAGGAGTTATAGTCAATCTTAAAAATAGTGAAGATATCTTTATCTATATCTAAGTATCTTTAAAACAAGCATTTAGGAGCTGAAGTCAGACATGACTGGCAAATCAGCAGCCCTTATTCTCTTCTCATAATAATAGACACTTTAGTCAGCTTGGTCTTATTCAAAACATAAAGGGGCATCTGTGGTTGCTGCAATTTGAGGTCACAATTGTAAAGGTTCTTATATATCAATATCAGCTTTTGTGACGTCATTAAATGCTTAGTTTTAGTGGAATTGCAGGAACCACAGACGTCTGACTGAAATTGGAATGGTGCATTTTAGTATCAATGTCTCCGATAAACATAAAAAGTTCATTAAACTTCTCTACGATTCCTTTAATAAGATTAGTTTGAATTTGCTTTTTACTGCCAAGTATTCTTAGATATTGTTTATAAATAGTTACTAATTAATAATGAAATCAATTGTTGATTAAAAAATATGACATCCTTCACTTGTGTAATTCTATATCATTAAATTCATTACCCATATCCTTCTGGTGATAAAGTTCTTGCCAGAGGATGGCAGCTTTAGCCAACTTGTTATAGTTTACAAACTACCATGGGATCTTTAAAGATGGGTTCCCTTATTTTCAATTATGAAAATGAAAATGCTACTACTTAAATGTATACATTGTATTTGATTGGTTAATGGAATTTTGCGTCTCATAGTGCATCAGAGGTACAATGTCCGATGCTCACTTATGGAATATGTAGAAGATACTAATAGGTATGGTATCCAGTGTGTATGGTGTGGGATTGTTCAGTAATTACTGTAGAAAATAGAAGAACCAAATACACAAGATATATTTCTGTCTTCTTTTTGTTATTATAAGCAGTGGCAGCTGCAGCCCTGAAAGCCCGAAACCAAGTTTGTCAGACAAAAAATCTCATACCTAGTTAAAAATTAGGGCTATCTCAGATATTTTGCCCCCCCCCCCCCCCCC